ATTTATGAATAAAATATTATGATAAGATGAGATTTAAACATGAATTATTTATTTATGAATAAAATATTATGATAAGAAATTAATATAAAAAGAAAATGATAAGAACTGATATCGAAAATATTATTTAGAATACTTTTGTAAAATATTAGATTTATATATATAAAAGTTACCTATTAGTTAATTTGACCTATTATCAATAATCAAGAAAAAAATAAACGTAAGTTGACATAAAGAACAAAACCTCACCAATCTCCTCACTTCCAATTTTGTAATGTGAACCAAAATTTTGCAGATCTACGGCCGTTAGCCAATCAAAATCGAGGATTATCCGCGCATTTTTTGTGCGTTCACATTATAATGTAATGATCACGTGACAATATGTATATTGTTTACATTTATTAACTAATCAAATTTATACAGATTGAAGATCAACTTTTAAATCTATATTTGCTAATGTACCAGCCAACTTCGTTCGAACTTTGTAATATTGGATATAATTATCAAAATGGAATCGGCATCAAAAAAGATGAACCGAAAGTGTTTGAATATTACCAGAAAGCCGCAGATAGGGGTCTTGCTATTGCAATATGTGCAGTTGGTGATTGTTATCTAAACAGAATAGGTGTTGAGAATAACGAAAGCAAAGCGTTTGAATACTACAAGAAAGCTGCTGACAAGGGTGATGACGATGGAACATATAATGTTGGTGCTTGTTATAAAAATGGAATCGGTGTCAAGAAGGATGAGAGTAAGGCGTTTGAATACTATATGAAAGCTGCAGATATAGGTAATGCTGGTGCAAAGTATATGGTTAGTGTTTGTTATAATAGGGGAATTGGTATCGAGAATAACGAAAAAAAAGCGTTTGAATACTATGTGAAAGCTGCAGATACGGGTCACGTTAATGGAACATGGAATGTTGGTATTTGTTATCAAAAAGGAGTTGGTGTCGAGAAGGATGAAACAAAGGCGTTTGAATATTATATAAAAACTGCCAATTTGGGTGACACGCAAGGAATGATTGAAGTTGGTAATCATTACAGAAATGAGATAGGAGTTCAGAGAGATATTCATCGAGCTAATCATTGGTACCGGAAGAAAAAATGTATGAAAAGATCGAAATCATTAATATATAAACAAGATATCCACGATGATCTAAAAAAGTTACTAAATGATGAGCATTATCAACTATCGTGGATCCCTTATAATGAATTTGATGAGATGAAAGAGATCGGAAAAGGTGGTTTTGCAACGGTGTTTAAAGCTATTTGGTTTGATAGAAATAGAAATTTTAGATCATGGGTTGCACTTAAGTTTGTTAATAGGTCTAATGAAAATATCAAAGAATTTTTGCAAGAATTGAGATTGTATTGTGAGATCGGGCATGAGAATCCATTGTTCTTACATTATCAAGGGATATCAAAAAATCCGGATAATGGAGATTATATTATTGTTATGAAATATGCTGAGATGCTTTCTTTGCGTAATAATCTTAGTGATGTATCACGAATGGAATGGATAAAGAAATTAAACCTATTGCACTGTATCGATAGTGACCTTGAATCGATTCATTCTCAGGAATTGATCCATGGTGATTTCCATAGTGGAAACATCTTGCAAGATACATTAGATAGTGCATATATTACAGATTTGGGGCTTACATCTGATGTGAAATCAAGCAAAGAGATTACAGGTGTCTTGCCTTATGTTGCCCCTGAAGTTTTACAAGGTCAAGAAATTACGCAAGCTGCAGATATTTACGGGTTGGGAATAATCATGACAGAGATAACGATGGGAATGAGGGCCTTTGATGGAATTCCATTTGATACTAAACTCATAGTAAAGATCTGTAATGGTGAAAGACCCAAATTCTCATCAGAAACTCCAGTTTGTTACATCGAATTAGTGGAACAATGTACAGATTCTGATCCGAAAAAACGATCTACGGTGACTGTCATTGATCACATTATCGGTTATTGGTTATACCAAATGGATAAACCCAATAAGAATGACATTAGGAAACAATTCTCGTATGCTGATAGATTCAAACCAGAACCTGTCGAACCAAAACACCTTGCACACATGTATACCAGCAAGTTAATTTCTTGTACTAATTCTATTTCCGATATTGATAGTATATTTCAAAATTTAACAATCAGCGATGATAAATAAATAATAACATTATTTTATATTTTTGATTAGTTGATAATTGTTATTGTTTTAATAACCTTTGTATAATTTCTAAATTACTAAAAGAAAAAATAAATAAATACTCACGTGAATATTTATTTTTTTTTATATATTAACCTTTAAAATTTATTAATGAGTAATAATTATTTAATTTATTTGAAATGGATTTAAAATATTTTAACGAATTATCCTTTATCCTTTCGTCTTATCGAACTCTATTTGAAATCTTATGTTTAGGATTTATTATTTATACAATAAAATTTTATTATTCTTATCTTTCTCGTGAAAACAAATTACCTGGTCCACTTCCATTACCATTGACTGGTAATCTTTATTGTTTTATTTTTGGAGAAATCAGACAAACTTTATTGACACTTCAAGAAAAATATGGTAGTGTATTTGAATTATATCTGGGAGTTAATCGTGAAATTATTATCGGAGATCCCAAGTTATTGGATGGAATTTATGATAAAAGTTCGAGTTCCGTATTTCAAAAACGTATTATACCTGGAGCTGTTTCATTAGGATTGGATGGTAAGGGAACAGTGTTCAATAATTCACATAATTATAGTGAAAATAGAAAATTATTTATTCGTAGTCTTTCAAAGGGTTCGAAAAATTATATATAATGTAACTAAAAAGATATTTGACGCAAATGATCAACAAGAAAATTTTGAATTAGATTTAAATATTTGGATGCTCGAAATATTTGGAGAGATATTTATTAAATTAATACTTGGAGAAACTGAATCAAAAACTATTTTACAAAAAGTATTACGATTACCAAAGAGAATGGCTTTATGGTTTAAAATTACTTGTTTATATTATGTATTACCCATTTCAGACATAAAGTACTTACCGTTTCTAAATACGATAAAAAAAAGATTTGTTAGGGACGATGGAAATTTTAGAAATGAATTAGATCATTTGATTAATCTTAAGAGAATAAAACTATTAGAAAGAAATAAAAATATTTCTGATAAAGATGAAAGAAATGATGATGTTTTGACGATATTAATTGATGAGGATGTTAAAAATAAATCACATAATGTTATGGAAATAGATAATGAAAATATCATAAATCTATTAAGTGAGATGATTAACGGTGGTGTAATAACAACGGTAAATTCCATAAAATTTTTGATATATCAAATAAGTAAACACCTAGAGGTTTGAAAGAGGGTTTATGTCGAACTCAAAGATTTATTTGAGAATAAATCTCTTTTGACGAATTATGATTATGTTAATAATTTAACTTATATCGGTGCTTGTGTTAAAGAGTCACTGCGTCTGATATCAACCATTCTATTTTCTTCAAGATCTATTAATAGTGGTGGTACTGTTTGTAATATGCAATGGAAAGAAGAACAAGAGTTCGTTATACATCATAATTATATTCATCAGAATACAAGATATTGGGATAATCCAAAATCATTTATTCCAGAAAGATTTATTGATGCTAATAATATCATAAAAAATAGTCATGACCCATTTGGTAATGGAGTTAGAGAATGTCCTGGAAAATTTTTAGCATTATTTACTATCAAAATAACGTTTATTTTATTTTTAAAAAGATATGATATTGAATTAGTCGAACCGGAAATTCCTTTAAAGACAAAATTTATGCTTGTCAGTGAATGTGTGGGAATGAAAGTTAGGATCAAGCCGAGAATTTAATAAATTTATTAAATAATAGGGCATTGCTATTTGTACCCCCACTTTTGCTATTGGTACCTCTTTCCTATATAAAAAAATATTTTAGCCACTTGTTAATATTGATATGTGAACTGACTGCGATAATGAGATTAATTGAACATTAAATGTTAAATGTTATTATTATCATTGTACTCTATAAGAGAGGGTATGAATAGCAAAAGTGGGAGGTACAAATACCAATGCCCTATTATTTAATAGTTTCAAAATGTTACATTTAATTTATTTAGTATTGTAATTATTAAGGTTTAATTCAAATTTTATTTGTTTCTAAATAAACTAAATAATCATATAAATTTATCCGATCCAATCAATAATTATATATAGTATTCTATGTAATTGTTCTAGAAGTAATAATTATTCTAATATGTATCAATACTGGTTTATATTAATTTTAAATGTACGATAGATCTTAAATTGATTATTGGTGATTAGAATTCACCCTTATGTTTTATCTTAATTATTAGAGAATGTTCTATGCGTTTATACACATAGAATGCATTTAAGAAAGAATTTTGGTTAGTAGTAAAGATCATATTTTCTTTATAAAATAGATTAATTCATCATCAATATAATTTGTGAAAAATAATCGTTTTTCATAGCTTTGATATTTCAATTCATTTTCAATATGCCTGTTTCTATTTTATCCTTCAGAGAAATCAATATCGCCGAGGTCTTTAAGAGGATGATATCAATTTTATATCAATCAAAAATTAAATCTTTAAACTATTCTGTACTATATGTTATCGCCTTTGTTATTACTATCGTCTTGCGATATTATTATGCATACAGTGTTGTATTGATATGGGTTACGTTCACTCTCATGTTAATATTTAATATTTCAATTGGTGTTTGTGGTGGTAAAGTTCTCGAAAGTTTTGATAAAGTATTTGGGTCGTTTATTGCCACATTATTAAACGCTTTCGGAGGAAACATTGGTGAATTATTTACGGTGATCTTATTGACTAAAACGAAACAATACAAAGACTCAATGATAGCGGTTAATACAATTTTGGGATCAACAGCATCAACTACATTGCTATTATCAGGTATTGGTGCAATTGCAAATTTCGGGGTTATCATGAAAACCAAGAGGGGAGTGAGAAGCTTGATAAGGTGGCACAACATGACAATAGTAGTTTTACGACTACTGTTTTATGTCTTATAGTCGGATTTGGTTTCTTTATTTAATACTATAATGCCGATCAGGGAATTATAAATTTTTTACAATATGGTCTCGCGATTTGTGTTTTTTTAAACTATATTATGTTTGTAATTGTAAAATTGATAAGTTATGGGATGAAGCAACAAGATAAGGAACAGGGTATAGAATCCGATAGTAATAAGGTAGTAATTGATATATCAGATTCAAGTGATACGAAATCAGAAGATGATATGATTGATAGGCGTGCTACTAGATCAATATTACTCTTTTTCTTAGGTTTATTGAATTATTTCACCGCTCATATTTTTGTTGAGTCATTGAGATTGATATTGGATGGGAAATTTACTTCACCCAACATGATGACAAAAATCATTTTGCCAATAGTCAATGATTTCATGGAGCATATTGGTGGTATTTATATGATAGTTAAAGATTATCAAGGAAAAATAAATACGGCACAGGAGAATGCTACACAATCGTCAAATAATGCGATAAGATTCGTGTTTCCTATATTGATATTTGCATGTTGGATTAACGATATTCAACTTAACATATTTTCTGAACTTCCATTCATGATACTTCTTCTTCTCGGGGCAGTATTGGTACAATTTGCGATGAGCGATACTAAATATACACCAATCGAGGATATGGGGGCGACGGTGATTTATATATGTTTAATTCTACTCTGTATAGTTCAGGATATGTTAACGAAACCCGATTTCTTATTTGTTCGGGTTTAATTTAAAGGTTAAGAAATAGTTATTTTTTTTAATATGATTTATAGTCTAAGTTGTTTTATGATTATTTATGATTTATTTGAATAAAAAATTAATTATTTGAGTTACATAAATATTATATTGATTTTTATTTGTACAAATTTATACGAAATATTTTTATCAATGACCATCATTATGATTAACTATATTAAATTAGTTTGAAAAAATACAATGAAATATAAATAAATATATTTAGTAGTATTTATTTATTATAAAAAAAAAATAATAATATTCAATCTAAATGGCATTTGGAAATGAAAATGCAGAGAATAAATACTTAAAAGATGTCCATAAATATTTTTATGGAATTGGTGTTGAACAAGATCTTGACAAAGCTTATGATGCTAATACGAGACTTATTGCACTAGGAAATAAAAAAGCTTATCATAGTATGGGAATTATTTTAAATTCGCGTGATAATGTTCGTTTTGCAGCAGATTTTTTTAAGAAATCTATTGAATATAGATATGATTATAGATGGTGGTAGAATTATTTTTTGAAAATTTTGAATTACGGCACATGCCGTATTTTTTGCCGTAATTATGGAGTGCCATAATGCTGTAATGTCATAATGTTGTAATGTCGTAATGTCGCAATGTCGTAATGCCGTAATGCCGTAATGTTGAAATGCCATTATGTAGTGTTCCGCAGAAAAGGATCCAAACGGATCTGGTAATTTCAATAGGTATAAAAGCGGCATTTCACAAAGAATACCTAAGCTGAAACTTTATTTGTAATTAGTGAAGGAAACACATTGCTCTGATAATTTCTCACGTGTGCCTGTTACCAATAGCAGTCTTTCAAACTCATTACTTAAACTGGATCCGGATCGGATCTGGATCCAAATTAGTGGGATTTAAAGACCTGCTACTGGTGACAGGAACACGTGAGAGATAATTGGAGCCTGTTGCTAGTAGTGTGTTGTCTTCACTAATTATATATAAAGTTTCAGTTTGGGTATCCTTTGTAAAATACCACTTTTATACTCATTAAAAATACTAGATCCATTCAGATTAGTGTTGCTTGCTGCAAATATGAATTGCGACTTTTTTTATAGCGCAACTAGGGTTGCAACTTATTGTCGCAATAGATATAACCATCTTAATCTAGTAAATGATGACTTATTTTGTAATAATTACAACATAAATAAGCTGTAAATTGCAAGTTGTGACTTTGCAGCAGGCAACTCTAATTCAGATCAATGTTATACTTTATATATAATCTTTATACAATATATTATATTTATAACTTATTACAAATATAATAAAATATTTTAATAATTTATAATTTATATATATATATATATATAATTACTTTATAAATTATTATCTGAATATAGGTTAGAATAATTTAAAAATTATAAGACTAACACTTTTTTGTAACATAACTTGTCTTTATTAAATTAAACTAATCTTTAACTATTAAAAAAATAATTATTGAGAAATTCATATTTAAAGTATCATATTATAATATTATAATATTATAGTATTATATAATATTATAATATTATATAATATTATAGTATTATATAGTATTATAGTATTATATAATATTATAGTATTATACAGTAGCATTATAATATGTATTATATAATATATTATGACATTATAGTATTACCGCATTATAGTATTACAGCATTACGGCATTGCGGCATTATGGCATTATGGCATTCAAGTTTTAAAACAAAAGAATCTTATGGTAGAATTAATTTTACCATATAGTAGAATGGTAGAATGCCATAATTCATTAATTCTACCACTATCTATAGTTTTTCATTAAGCACTTTATTCTATTTTTTTTTTTTTCTTCGTATCTAGTTAGACTAAAGAAAATACAAAATCAATTCCCCGTCTAATTTTAGTATTACATTGTATTTAATTATCTACATAATTATATTTCTGGGCTTAATTAAATTTATACATATCAATAGATTGTTTGTAAGAACTTTAATATAAAAGGAGTATTTTGAAAAGCAATACTCAAGAGAGTTAAAGATTTTGAAAGTGAGATTCCAGTTTATATCAGATGTATAATTATTAAAGAATTTGAGAGAGGTTCATAAGAGAAGTTCTTGAATTGTAATAGTGCTTTTGATAAATGAACGAATTTTAAGTATTATTGTGTAGTTGTACCAGATAAAGTGAATAGAGAGATTAAAGTGTGAAGAAAGGATTTCTATAATTGGCTTAGTCGTGCTGCGTTTGGCTAGGGAATCAGCTTGGTTATGGAGAGAGTTATTTGAATGTGATTTAACTTTAATAAGATTAATAGAAATATTCTTAATTTTTATAAGTAAGTTAATAATAAAGATAATATCTCAGTTTTTTTGCTAGATGAGTTTATAAGATATAGAGTCTAATAAGCTTTTAATTGCTAAAAGATTGTCTATATAGATAGTAAGTGTAGAATTAATTAGTAAGGTAAGAAGTAGAGGAATAATTGCTACTAGTTCTGAGCAAGTGGAGTCAGAAGAAGGAGGAGTTGCTACGCAAAAATTAATAGAGGTGTCATTTTCACAGATCTAACCAATGCCAGTCTGTATATTAGATGTTAGGGGATTTTTAATAGAAGCATCAGTATAGAATTGTAAATCAGTTGTGTTTAAATTTAAAATATCAGTTAGAGATATTTCCAAATTTGGCATTGCCGAATATCGCAATGATCTGCACTATACAGCTACACAGAAATTTTCTAGAAAAATTAGAATAAAACTAAATTTAATTGGCTATATGGTATGTATATATATATATGTTCATACGTACCTGCAAAAAGTCTAATTTTTTACCTGATCTGCATTAGCAACAATTCTGTGCTATTAGGTATGAGTGCAAATGAATTTTCTGTTTGTACGCATATGGCTCAGAGCATTAGAATAAAAATACTATGATTCAATCTCTAACGTAGAATTCTAGAATGCACAGAGGAGTTACTTGAGTTAATATAACTGCTATAAATAAAAGTCCTTTAGGTAAAGGTTCTTGTTCAATGGCTAACGATTCTAGCCAATTAACAAATTTTGTATAACTTCCAGAACTAATTATATGATTGTCGATATCAATAATTGTTCCAAATCATGCTAGCGAATATTTAATTCCAGACATGGTGAGATTTATTTCAGACACATAGTTATTATGCCTTGACCTATATATTGCATCAATTGCAACTATCTTTTTAAATAGCTTTTCACTTATAGTATAATTATGGTTATTATTATCATTACAAATAAGCGTATTAATGAAGTTAACAATAACTGGGTTATGATTAGCTAACCAATTTTCAGGTACAAAATTCAATAAATTGTTAAGAGAAAATTGTTGTTTATTTAAAATTAATGATTCAATATCATTATAAACATTTTGCCGTTCATAATTTGCAATCTGAATTATTGAGTCAATTCTTTTTTTGATTATTATAACGATTTTCCCAATTATATTTTAATGCATTATTTTGTTCGGATAGCTCTTTATTTATTTTATTTATTTCTTGAATTCTCCCCAACTCTCGATTACATAATCATATGCATATTCTAATTGCTTTTGAAGGTTTTCTATCTCATCTATTTTTATACTCAATTGCGCTTGAAGTAGATTAATATAATTTATAAGGGGACACGACATATTATCAGATACTTGTATGCCAATTTCATGGGTTATTTTATTACCAGTCTCTTCAGTTTGAATGCCAATTTTGCAAGTATTTTTTTCAACTTCTATTTCATAAGCATGCTCTACACGAGCCTGCTTTTCAACTAATTTATTTTCAAAATCAAGATGATGTACTTGTTTATTTTTAGATAATTGCGAATAATTCGTATTTGTAAGAACTTGTCGTAAGAAATCGGACACAACAAGTTGGTTATAATGCTTTTCACATAAAGAAAAATCTTCTAAATGTGTTTGAATTTGAATTAATTCAGGAAAAAAACTATTATACAATGGAAGGTGACTTTTTGCTAATTTACTATCCGCATGACGTATTGCTCTTTAGTTTCACATTCTAACAATCCAGAACCATCATGCAATGAAACAGAAGAAGCCAATGCACAAGGTAATTCGTATGCTAGTCATTGTTTACACTGTTGATGTTGACTTGATTCTATTAATAAATAATTTTAAATTAGAATAAGTGTATTATGATGAAGAGTCAAATAAAAATCTATTATATACTGTACCCGTTTGGCTCATATTTTTTTACTGTATATTGCAGCTTTGAATAATGTCCTCAATTAAAAAAAAAAAATAAAATATGCTATGGTAAAAAAATCGTGGAACTAGTAATAATGATGTAAAAATTAGATAATTTCAAAGAACAAATTGCAGGTCACGCTTCTAAAGATTAAAAAAAAAAAATTTTTTTCAACAAAAAAAAACCTCGTATTTTGCTAGTATTCTAAAATAGAAAATTGTGGGGCTAGTAGCAGCAACTTAAAGCTTAAGTGATTATTCGCTTTTCAAGGAACAAAGTACTTGTATTTTAAATTTAGCATGTGAAAAATGTGAAAACCGTCAGAAATCAGGTGAAAAGGTATATTACACTGAACCTATAATTTGATACAATATAATCTAAATATGGAAATATTTCTTACCATATTTCTAAGACACTAATTTATGCTTGATATATTTGATATTTCAGCGAATCCAAAAAAAGAAATAAATCTGAGTATCAAACAAAAAACATTATAAAGAAAAAATTAAAATATAAAGCGTATACATTACATTACCTCTTGATTCAAGATTCTTTCCTTTCTTCTGATCCAAGATTATTCGAATTAGCATACAAAAAATTCAGAGTTTTGCAAAGTGCAAATGTTTAATACATTTCCTCTCTCTGACTCTAAATTCAAAAAAGCTAGTATGCTGCTTTTGCAAAGTGTTGTTTTACTTCCCATTTGATCCGAGATTATTCTTTCTAAAATCCAAGAAAGTTGGAGTAATATTCTTGCAAGATGCCTTTATTACTTTGCT